TCGCGTCTTGTCCCCTCCCGTCCGTCAAGTCGTGTCCTTGGCAAGCCGGCTACCGCGCTCTACGCTACAAACACACACCCCTCCCAGCACGACAACAAGCCACTGCCAAAAGCAACGGTCCGTGGCGATACCACCGTTGCACATGATCTATGGCAACTAGCTCAAAGCGCCAAATAAGCGGGGCGAAAACAACCAGCCCGTCCGGAACGCACGTCTAGGCACGCCGTTTTGGGCTATCGGCCTGCCTGGAAAGGCCGCAGTCTTGCGAAAACGAACAACGAAACGCTGAGAGCGATAGTGATAGTAGAGCTCGACAACAAAGAGTTCATTGGGGACGCTGGCGCGTGTGGCTTCATTCGCCTGGCCTGGCGGTGTGTGAGAACACAACACCACAGCGATACCCTGGTCAAGGTGAGGGAAACCACAAACGTGGCGTCTGTGATAGTAGGAAGACCACATAAGGAGAACGGCTGGTTGCACTGCTGTGCGCGGCAGTTACCTGGAAATCAACAATAACAAAAAAAACGTAGCCAGCCTACTCTAGCTCCGAGCTGTTGTCTTCTTTCTCAACACAAAAACAAACCACCGCCGTAACCTAACCTATACGTACGAGATGGGCGCTTCGATGCGCCTCATCTCACCACCAACTCCACGGTGCCGGGCGCAGTTATTCGTACCAACAAGGTCCTTCCACCCCGCCACAACTGCATCCCATTAACAAATGCACGGCTCTACACCAACAGAGGCGCCACCTGTGCATCGACAGATTCGTCGACCTCCTACACAGCACCTCACCCTATAGGCGCTTCTCTCACCTCGAACTGCATCCCCAGTTGCAACACCGCGGCCGAATCCGCGCCTCCCCCACCCCACGCCCCGCCGCCGCCACCGCCGCCGTTGGCGTGGCCGCCGCCTCCAGCTGGTGCCGCCATCCCCGCCCCCCCAGTGCCTCTGCCGTTGGTGAGAGGGTCGAAGCTCGCCGCCGGCACTTGGGCCACGTCGAAGGGGTTCACCTATTGCAGGAGGCGTTGGCACGGAACGGGGGGGAAGGGGAACAAAAAATAACACATTTTGGATAAGACAACAACCGCAGTATTGTTAGTTTAGCGGCATCGGGGCTGGAAGTTTGACCTGTCTGGCCCTCTCAACTACTGTCTCGTGAGGTGTGAGACAAAGTGGTTGCTTCCCCCCTGTAGCCGGCCAGCCACGTGACGCCTCCCTCAGGCATGAACGTTCGGCTACTAGACCTCTTGCGATGTATCGTTTTTCGGGATAAAACCCTCGCTCATATTTGGGGTCATTTGAAACGACCTCGACAAAAACTACGCGATACAGCCACAGCAGCAGCAGCAGCAGCAGTGCAAGTAGACATCTTATCAGGGGAGGAAATCAACTACAACAAGCATCGCGAGAGGCGAGTGTCTCGACAAGAAATGCGGCAAGCGCTACCTCGGCCACGTGTCTCCGTGTTCAAGAGCGGTACTGCGATAGTCGCCGCTATTCATAAACGTGACCTTTACAACCCTGGGCGTCGGACGCCCCTCTGTTTTTTCGGTCTGTGCGTGAAAAAGGTAGGCCAATGACGGGAAAACACCCGAAGGTCAAAGGTCTCACTTCTCCTAAACCTCTTATCAAGCCGTTTCCAATGAGGTGTAGCGTCGTGCCAGTGGCCGGCCCAATCTGCCGGGCCATTGGTAGGTAGATATGCATAGTTACCTCAAGAGTGGAAGGATCGGCCGAGAGGATGTCGTTAGCCACCGCCGGCGCGGCCGCAGGCTTCGCCGCCCTCGGCTTGCCGCCGCCACTTCTGCCGCCGCCGCCCTGGCTCCCTCTCCGCTGGTCTCCCCCGGGGCCGGAAGCAGAAGGAGGAGCCTGGGGATAGGGCCAAACGCACGGCGTTTCAAGGCTTAAACTTATGAGGAAGAACTTGCTAACCCTTCGCCGCGTGCTAAAGAACAGATGAGCGTCGCAGTGGATGCTTCCTACTGTTATGGCCCCGGATGGGAGGAGGCTCAAGAGGGCAAGACCGCAAGGTAGCGTACCCAACGTCCAAAAAATCCAAGCATGCTCCACAGGAGTTCAACAACAACTTAGGAAAAGCGACACGGCACAAAAAGACGCCAGGCGACCCACCGCGATCTCCCAGAGAAGACAGACGCATCTTCCGCACATGCTTCCCTGCACTGCTGTCCACAGGAGGCGTCAGTGACGGAAACAAACACTCCTTGGACGCTGCCCTACATACAAAAGACACACCATCGATACCCGATGAATCTACTGACCCCCCCCTCCCCCTCCTCCCCTATTCCGTGGGCCCCAGCCCGGCGGCGAAAACAGAGCCAGCCAACGAACCTGCATTCTTCTGGTCGACGAAGAGTGATGAGCCGGAGGGGACGACCTCCTCCTGCCCTCGATCGAACTCGACCTCCGGGTAGCGCTACGGGCGCGTTCCTCCTCCGACTCCCGGCGGCGCTGCCGCCCGCCGCCGCCGCCCTCCTGGTCTCGGTCGTAGCCGCCGCGCCCGTTGCTCGAGGCCCTGCGCAGGCTGCCGCTGTCGCCGCCGTCCCGGCTGCTGGAGTTGGAGTTGCCGCTGCCCCTACGCTCCGCCGCCCTCGACCGTCCTCCGCCCCCTCCGGATTCGCCGCCGAACCCCAGCCTGTCGAAACGCCTCTTCTCGTCGGTCTGGAGGCTCCTCATGCTGTCGCGCTTCGTGGCCTCCAGCTGGGCCGCCAGGTACGGGTCTCTGCGGCTGAAGCTGTTCCCGACACGACGGAATTCGCGCCCGATCCGATTGGTTTCGTAGCGAGAGATGAACGAAAAGCAGAGGAGCGTGAGGCGGGCGAGGAGCGACCAACACGTCACAGAAGAGGATGTAGTAACGCATAACGCAAAAAAAAAAAAAACGAAGGCAACCCCTGCCAGGTAAGGTACTGGCGTGGCCGCGAGACACAGGCAGGCTGCTGGAGGGCTCGACCCCCCCAAAACACGCAACCTCTGACCTACACGGAAAACGCCGTAGCAGCCGACCCGCCATCTCCTTCAGCTCACTTCTTGAAGGGAATCCCGTCGATGACGAGCCCGTACTCCTCGAAGTTTATCCCCACCCGAAGGAGGTGGGCGCCGAAGGACCAGGCGAAGACCCACTCCTTGGAGACCTTCTGGGCCTCGTTGATGAGCTCTCCGTTGAAGATGGTCTTCTTTTTGCCGCTCATGAGCGAGTGAATCAGCGTCACCTGAGTCAAGGTGCATTTTTCAGACGTTGCGCAAACGTGTACCGCGTGCGTGTAAATGTTGTTGTCCCATGTTCTCTGGGCGCATTAGCCGGGGTCACACAGGAGAAAGGCCAACACACACGAAATTCACGATGTTTTGTTGGGTGCGGGGTTGAGTGGACATAAAACCTCAGGCAAAATCTCGTGCGCTACCTCGGTCAGGAGGGGCGACAGTAAAAGAGACATGTTGAAAAAAGGGGGGGGGGGGGGGGGAGGGCATCGGGGGGGCTGGGAAAAAATTTGGAAATTTTTGCAAGGGACCTTCCTCCCCCGAATGTTTTGAAAAAGAACC